CGGACGTTGATCGGATCGGATCTAGAATAACTCGTCAAAAGCTGTGTTTCTTCACTTCGCTCCTGACTTGTCTATGATCAGGTCTTGATTTTTTTCCTCTTCGTCTCTGTTACTGCAAGTTTTTTTCTGGGAATTGCTTGTTTTTGCTTCGGAGATTTTCGCGGGAAAATACTGGAAAACCTTTCTCTTTCTCAATCTTTCTTCTCTCTCTACCGTAGTCTTTGCTGGGTTTTCTTTAAATCTGAATATTCAAATCGAAAGTTTCACTTTTTCGCTTTCTTTCCTCTGTTTTGAAGTCAAACAGAAACTAAAAAAGAGRARCTTTTCTTTCAGGARTTGTGTCGAACACCTTCAATGGATTATTCATCATCAGTCGATTACGCTTGTTCATCTTCCAAAACCCGAAACCCTACTCCATCTAAATCCAAATGTTCCGTTACATCATTCTCGATCGATTCCAGACACGGAAGCACCAAGAAACCAGAACCGCCATTGAAGACGTTAATCCAAGAAACTTCCCCTGAAGTTTCTGAATCATCCTCTGTTTTYCCTGAMCCTCAAACACCAATCTCGATTATWCGGATGAAGAAACAATCAGAGCCGAGGTTTTACCCTAGCCCAACCAACACTTTCTACACAGCACCACTTTACGCAGAGACCAAACAAAGCTTCACCAACACAGAAGTCAGCGAATGCGCAAGCGTAGGAGGAATCGATCTGGAGAAAACAGGTGTTTTGACATACAGAGGAAGCACAGGGAGTGATGTAAGTGACGAGAGTAGCTCGAGCGGTTTGAGCAACGCTGCTTATAAGCCACACAGGGCTAATAACGATAAGCGATGGGTGGCTATTCAGGAGGTTCGATCTCGGGTTGGTTCGTCTCTKGAGGCTAAAGATTTCAAGCTCATGAGAAGRCTTGGAGGAGGTGATATTGGTGTTGTTTACTTAGCTGAGTTGATCGGAACAGGAGCTACTTTYGCAGTGAAAGTTATGGAGAAAGCATCTATTGCAGCAAGGAAGAAGCTTGTTAGAGCTCAGACAGAGAGAGAGATACTCCAATCGTTAGATCATCCATTCTTGCCTACACTTTACTCGCATTTCGAAACGCAGAATCATTCGTGTCTTGTTATGGAGTTTTGTCCTGGTGGTGATTTACATTCTCTCCGGCAAAAACAGCCCGGAAAATACTTCCCGGAACACGCTGCTAGGTAAAGAACTCAACACTGCCGGTTTACGGACGAATTAACGTTTTTCGATGTTGCTGAAAGTTGCGATTTTTCGWTGTTTTCTTTGTAGGTTTTACGTTGCTGAAGTGCTTCTTGCCATGGAGTATCTACACATGCTTGGGATCATATACAGAGACCTCAAGCCTGAGAATGTTTTAGTTCGTGAAGATGGACACATAATGCTATCCGATTTCGACCTCTCCCTGAGATGTGCGGTTTCTCCAACACTAGTCCGGTTTGCTGCCACAACGCTTGAATCCAAAAGCTCAAGCTACTGCATCCAGCCGACTTGCGTAGACCAATCGAGCTGCATTGTCCAGCCGGATTGCATCCAGCCCGTGTGTTTCACTCCTCGGTTCTTGTCTAAAAGCAAGAACAAGAAGARACAGAACGATACAACACGCCAAGTCAGACCGCTACCCGAGCTGATCGCTGAACCAACTAGCGCGCGCTCCATGTCKTTTGTTGGGACACACGAGTACTTAGCACCAGAGATTATCAAAGGAGAAGGTCACGGAAGCGCGGTTGACTGGTGGACATTCGGGATTTTCCTTTACGAGCTTCTGTTTGGACARACACCGTTTAAAGGAGTAGGAAACARAGCGACGCTGTTCAATGTAGTTGGTCAGCCACTGCGGTTTCCCGAGCACCCGAGTGTGAGCTTTGCGGCCAGAGACTTGATCAGAGGATTGCTGGTGAAAGAGCCACAGCATCGGTTGGCTTATAGGAGAGGAGCCACTGAGATAAAGCAGCATCCGTTTTTCCAAAGTGTGAATTGGGCTTTGATCAGATGCACCAGTCCACCACAGATTCCTCAGCCAGTAACAATCATGGACCATGGTCATAGTCTTCGTAATGGTCAAGTTGGTCATGAGAAGCCTCCTACTGTGGATGTCAAGTCTTCTGGTAATTATTTGGAAATTGATTTCTTCTGATTTGGTTTGTCTCTTCGTTCTTATTCTCTTGATCTTACACAAACTATATGATGACTTTTGCTTTTGGGGGTTTGTCTAGAATTTGAGCTGATGTGTTTTTACTTACCAAAGATTTGACTG